CGACCGTCGTGCGTAGCGGCCGCGGTGTGAGACCACCCCCTGCGCACCCCCTGTGGTGTCGAGAAAGTGTCACGCCTGCTGTGCCTGGACGACTGTCGTGCATAGCGGACGCGGTAAGCGACCACCCCTTGCACAGCCCGTGTGGTGTCGAGAACGTGCCACGCCTGCTGAGCCTGGACGACCATCGTGCATAGCGGCCGCGGTCAGAGACCACCCCCTGCGCACCCCCTGTGGTGTCGAGAAAGTGCCACGCCTGCTGTGCCTGGACGACCGTCGTGCATCGCGGCCGCGGTGAGAGACCACCCCCTGCACAGCACGTGTGGTGTCGAGAAAGTGCCACGCCTGCTGTGCCTGGAGGACCGTCGTGCATAGCGGCCGCGGTGGGAGACCACCCCCTTGCGCACCCCCTGTGGTGTCGAGAATGTGCCACGCCTGCTGTGCCTGGACGACCGTCGTGCATCGCGGCCGCGGTGGGAGACCACCCTGTGGTGTCGAGAAAATGCCACGCCTGCTGTGTCTGGACGACCGTCGTGCATAGCGGCCGCGGTGAGAGACCACCCCCTGCGCACCCCCTGTGGTGTCGAGAATGTGCCACGCCTGCTGTGCATGGACGACCGTCGTGCATAGCGGCCGCGGTGACAGACCACCCCCTGCGCACCCCCTGTGGTGTCGAGAGGAAATGCCACTCTGTCTTTTTTTTTACTGCGTGACATGGACGACCGTCGTGCATAGCGGCCGCGGTGAGAGACCACCCCCTGCGCACCCCCTGTGGTGTCGGGAATGTGCCACGCCTGCTGTGCCTGGACGACCGTCGTGCATAGCGGCCGCAGTGAGAGACCACCCCCTGCGCACCCCCTGTGGTGTCGAGAAAGTGCCACGCCTGCTGTGCCTGGACGACCGTCGTGCATAGCGGACGCGGCGAGAAACCACCCCCTGCACAGCCCCTGTGGTGTCGAGATATGGCCGATATGGTGCCACGCCTGCTGTGCCTGGTCGACCATCGTGCATAGCGGCAGAGCGCGGTGAGAGAGACCAACCCTTGGCACAGCCCCGGTGGTGTCGAGAATGTCCTCGCCTGCTGTGCCTGGACGACCGTCGTGCATAGCGGCCGCGGTGAGAGACCCCCCCCCCTGCGCACCCCCTGTGGTGTCGAGAATGTGCCACGCTTGCTGTGCCTGGACGACCGTCGTGCTGAGCTGAGCTGAGCTGCGCTGTGCTGTGCTGAACTGAGCTGTGCTGTGCTGTGCTGTGTGCTGTGCTGTGCTGTGCTGTGCTGCGGTGAGCTGTGCTGTGCTGCGCTGTGCTGTGCTGTGCTGAGCTGAGCTGAGCTGAGCTGTGCTAAGCTGTGCCGTGCTGCGCTGAGCTGAGCTGAGCTGTGCTGAGCAGTGCTGTGAGGAGGAGGGGGGGTGTGAGGTGAGACACGGGTGCGACGTGGCAGGGAAGAACACCAGAACCCCACTAAGCATGTGGGGAATTATCCCAGTGCGACCCTACCTAGGAGTTGGAGCATCTAGGAAAGCAACATCTACATATACACCGACAAGGCTATGATATGCTATACCGCGCTATGCTATGATATGTTATGTTATGATATGCTGCGCTATGCTATGATATGATACGAAGTGTCATGACATGTTATGTTATGATATGATATGATATGATGCGCTGTGCTATGCTAAGTTAAGCTATGCTATGTATGTTATGCGATGTTGCGAGATGTGATGTTATGATATGATATGCGATGCTTTAGTATGATATGGTATGCTACGATATGCTGCGATATGCTATGCTATGCTATGCTATGCGATGCTATGATATGTTAATGTTGCGCTAAGCTAAGCTAAGCTAAACTGGGCTAAGTGAAATTACGCTAAGCTAAGCTAAGCTAAGCTAAGCTAGGCTAGGCTAAGCTAGACTGAGCGAAGCTAAGCTAAGCTGATCTTAGCTAGGCTAGGCTAAGCTAAGCAGAGCCCAGCTAAGCTAAGCTAAGCTAAAGTTAAGCTAGGCTAAGATAACATGAGATAAGCTAAGCTAAGCTAAGCTAAGGGAACGTAGCTGGGGGAACCGCGGGGCGGATTATGGGGGAACCGCCCGGGGCGTGCCCCACTGCCCGGCCCTTTAAGCTACGAAGTAAGAACCCTTCTCGGCAGAGCCTAGGTAGGGAAAAATCACACCTGGAGCCCTGGACACTATCTTTCTCTGTCACTTTCAAAGCCGGATCGATCTGCGAGGGTCCCGGGGCCCAGAAAAAGACGAAAACGCCCTGCTCGGAAAGATTGGGACGCCAGGATCTCAGGGGTCGTCGCCGCCCCCGCCGTCGCCAATGCGAGGCCGCCACATGCCGCCCCCCCTCGCCACGCCACCCTGCCGAGGGGCAGCCCCGCCGCAGCCAGCAGGGCAGGCAGCCGGCGCGGCAGGTACGGGTGCACGAAGGTGGTCACGCACGCGGCGTGGACGCGCCGGAACCGGGCCTCGCAGGCGCGCCCGGCGGAGTGCCGGGGGCCGCATAGCCGAGGAGCACAGATCATCGAACGTGAGTCCAATAGACCCATGGTAAGATATGCACCCAGAGATCTGACACTCCAAAAAAATTAGAGCGGCAGGATTTTGGCCGTTTTCGGCCTCCTGGGGGCCCTCGCCGGGCCTCGGGAACGCCAAAAATACTCTGACACTCCAAAAAAATTAGAGCGGCAGGATTTTGGCCGTTTTCGGCCTCCTGGGGGCCCTCGCCGGGCCTCGGGAACGCCAAAAATACTCGGGACGCAAAACCGTCCTTAGGAAACTGGTCGGCCTCTGGGACCCACGCGCCGGCTGGGCATGTATAGTGCTGAAATGAAGAGATCGGTGGTGAGAGCAATATCAATACATATAGATATATAGAGAGAGAGTAATGCTGATTGATACTTTGGATCGTTGGAGCGATTGGTGGTGAGAAGATAGTGAGACCGATCGATCGGGAGACCCACAGGTAGAGATGATAGATAGATCGCGAATGCGACCCGACACCAATCCCAAACCCACATCCGCACCCGCCCCTCCGCCAACCACCTGACCACCCGAAGGATGGCCTTGTGGGTAGCTGGCGTTCCCGATCACCGCCCCTTCAAAGCAGCCTGGCTCCGGGACGCTGCGCTCCGTCGCCACCGTCACCAAGGGTGGCCCGCCGGCCGTGGGCCCTGGCACTGCTCAGCCTCCGAGGTCGGCCGCGGCTCAGCGCCCCTCGCACTCCCTCGCTTAGGGCGACGCCAAATATGCACCTGCACCGAGCCTTGACAGGCCCATTCTGGGCCCAGGTCGGGCTGGGCTTAGATGGGCGGATGTGCACGGTTCGCGTGCCCGATCACCGCCCTGACGAAGCCGTCCGGCTCCAGGATAATGCGCTCCGGCGCCACCGGCACGATGCAGCCCAGCCTCTCGGCCGCCTCTTGGGGGCAGGGGCCCCCCACGAGCGAACCGTGCTCCCCGCCGCCGAGCCGCATGAAGCGTGGGTCGACGATCGAGCTGCTGGTCCAGGAGCGGATATGATCATCGAGCAGGATGTGGTGGACATCCTGCGCGACAGGCCCGCTAGGCACCCAGGACCCGCTGGCCGCAGCTGGTGCTGAAGCCGCCGGCCGTCCAGAACTCGTCATCTTCTCGCATGGTCAGGGTGCCCCCCAGGCGGCTCAGGCCAAGGAAAGCGTCCTGGCACGTCGCTGCGAACCGAGTCCTGACTCCTCCGCGCCTACTCGAAGCTCGGGCCACCTGAGCCCTACTTAGGGGCACGGCCTGCTGCGCCTGCTCCGCGAGCCCTTGGCGTCCTCCTGCCCGTCGACCTCGAAAGCCAAGCGCAGTCCATCACCCGCGCGCCCGAGGGCTGCGCATGGCCGCTCTGCGGGCCGCGCCGCCGGGCAGCCTTCAGGGAACATCGGGCGCCTCCCGTCTGTGAAGGCGCCGATCGCCTCGGACACGTTGGGGCCGTCGGCCCCGTACGTCCGGAGGACGACGGCCAAGTCCCGGCCCTCCCTCCTGCAGGCCCGACAGCAAGTGCCAGAACGAGGGGAGCACGCAGCGGTACCACCGTCCGTCCTCGCGAACGGCGGCGCCCGAACGCCGTCGCACTCCATGGCCCCCATGATGCGGCCGAACGCGTCTCCCACCACAGCGCCATCTGGGGACTCAACGAAGCGCCCCAGCGCGGCCTTGAACTGGTGGCGGGGCCGGTGCGCCACCGCCTCCTCGAGATGCTCGTGTAGCAGCTGACCTGCCCCTCCTCGGGGCACCTGCTGGTGAGCTTCCCTGCGAGCGTCGCCTCGGACCACTCCCGTTCCCCGCCCGCCAGGGAGCCCCAGGCGGCGCCCGCCAGATGGATGTTGCCGACATGGGCCTGTGCCACTCCGACGCCCGACGCTGGGCCTGCCACGAAGACGGTGCCGTTGACGTCGAAGTGCAGCACCAACCGCGGCCGCCGTGGGCGCTCCATGGCCCTCGCCTCGCGACGGGCCGGCTCGGAGGCGCACGGCAGCGGCAGGGCTGGAGCGCACCGGGCGGCTGGCGCGGGCACCGCGGCGGGATGGCGTGGGTGCTCTGAGCCGACCATGAAAACGGCTCCGAAGCTGCCGCGGCCAGGTCGGCTCTTGTAGCTGGCTGGGTGTGAGCGAATCGGCTCTTGTAGCTGGCTTTCCCGGCGCCCGAGTCGCCAACGGGCCGAGGTGGGCACCCGAGGGCGGGGACGAACGCAGCAGATTTCGCAACCCCTTATCCCCACCCGTATCAGAAGGACGCACGACAAGGATGCAAGGGCCCTGGAAGGCCATGCCGACACTTGGCGAGCGGGGCACGGCCAGCGAAGGCGGCCAAGGACGGGCCGAAGGGGAAGGATGCGGGGGGCAGCCTTGGAAAACTGCTCATCCTTGCTATGCGGGTTGGCTGTACACGTTGTTCATTTCTAATCGTGCTCATTTCTAACCGTGCTCGTTTCTACTTGTTCCAGCCCCCCATTGGCCAGGAAGAGGCCCAGGATAGAACAATCAGAAATGAAAGGATCTTGGCCCCCAAAAAAATCCAAGAACCTCGAAGAATTAGACATGGACAATGTGTATCCCTCCCCTAGGGGGACAAAAAGTGACATAAACATAAAAACTCGAGGTCCGCGCGGATTTTTCGGATCGGCGCTGGACCACCCTCCCTGGCGCGCGGAGCGCGCCAGGGGCGGCGCCGGAGGCGCCGCTGGGGGGCCCCAGCGCCGATCCGAGAAATCCGCGCGGACCTCCGAGCTTTTATGTTTATGTCACTTTTTGTTCCCCTAGCCGTGGAGAAATCGCGACGGGAAGTTGTCCTGAGATGCAGCGATTGGGGCGGGGGGGGGGGACTGGCAAAGGGGGGAGCGGTGCGTCGTCCTGGAATCGGCGATGCATCGGCGACAGATCGGCGGTGGGCCACCGATAGCGGATCCACACGTTCCTGAGCGGGGTGGGGCTATCGGGCCCCCTACCGGCGATCAATGGGCGATTTGGGGTCGATGCACCCCCCCATGCGTATCCCCCCTATCGTTGCCCCCGATGTTCCCTATTTTCGGCCTTACTGTGCCTCGGGGCCGTCAAAAAACAACTCAGGATGAGAAACGGTCCCGGGGAAGGGGTCCAGACCTCTGGGGGTCGACGTCATGAAAAAATCATGACGCCCGGGGTCTGGGTTTCGTGCAGCCGCAAAGAACACGAGGTGAGCGACAATCAGAAGCGGGTGTAACTCGAGATGGCGTAGCGACCTTACGACGCGGCTTGCGTGGGCCACCGGCGCGACACGTCACATTTAAAACGAGGGCGCTTTCGCGCCACCTTTCGCGGGAAGCTTACGCGCCAATGTTGGCGCAGTCGACCCCATGTTCTTCTGGCGCTCAGGTAGAACCGTCGCTCCGCAGCGGCGGTCCGCTGTCGATTCGTGATTTCGGCTCGTGGGCCGCGGCTCTGGCCACCGAGGGGTTCATCGGCTCGGCGACGCCAAGCTTCTCTAGACTCTCGTCGAGCTCAAGCTGTTTTGGTGCCAGTGCGTACGGCGTACGGCATCTGTCTGGGCGATCTGTCCTGATTGGGAACCGCGCGTCATTACACTAAGGTATTTGTGCCCTGTCCCATGGGGCTTCGCAGAAACGCCACCAGGCAACGTCTAGTGTATGATTGTCTGGCTAGTTCTCCAGGTGACATGTTTTGAACAAATATATGCACTGTGTTTGGGCCGCTATTTACCACTAAGTGGTGGGTGGACATAACATAGTATGGTGGACACACTCCTGGCCCCCATTGGTGCAACCACGGGCCATGTGGGAGTTAAAACGGCACTCGTGCTTTTTCTAACGCGGGTGGCAACTGTCTTTGTGATCTACCTTGCTGTAGTCTCGGGCTCTGGCGGAAAGATTACTGAACGCGGGTAGCAAGGCTGCAAGCAGGAAAACTGTCCACGTAGGCTACCACGCGCACTCCCTGCTGTCTAGATATTCGCCCCAGGCCCCCACTCCGTCCCTGGACACCTTCCCAGCATCGCTGCTGGAGCACGTAGGGCCGGCAGGCCAATCTGCACGGCCTTACACGAATTGAGTCGATGATAACGACGATGGCCCAAGTGTACCAGCTGCCCTCAAAAAGGGGCCGTGATCCTTTGCCCACATCACGGCTTCTCCCGCGTCGGGAAACCTGCTTACTTCTCGAGCATCTTCTTTGTGAAATTGTCTTCATCAAGGTCCCCCTCGTCGTTGCACTGCATCTCCTTCATGATGCCCGTGAGCTTCTTCTTGATGGCGTCCTTGGAACTCGCGTACAACATCTTTTTCTTCACACCGCAGGTGTCGGGTGACCAGAACACGAAGGTCAGCTTCGACTGATCCCTGCCGTCCTCGGACTTATAGGGGAAATCCACAACGGCGTACCTCGGTTCTTCCTTTGGCAACGCATCTTTGAAATCCGCGAATGTCTTCTCCTTGTCCCCTTCCGAGTCGACTACGATTGTTTTCTGATCTTCGCTCATCGTGTAGATGATGTAGCGCAAATCCTTCTTCATCTTGATCTGCTCGTACTTCTTCAGGCACTCGTCGTCGCAAGTGACGCCAGACATGGCCGCGGGAGGAGAGCGAAAGCGCAAGGAGGTTCCCAGCGGAAGGGACGCGCGACTGCTAGGAAGCCTGTCGAGCTTGAGCCTAAACAGCTCTGGCAGGCTCGCCGAGCCCCAGCTACTGAAACGCCTCCACGCCCGCCCTCAACCACCGAGGATCCCGTTTGCACAAAAGGCCCGCCCCGGATCTGAAGTCCCCGAGGACCCGACCCCATGCATCGCGCCCTCGTCCATGAGACGCTGGATGCTCAAGGCGGGCCGGGCGTGCGGGGGAACGCATGGGTGGGCCTGCGGGGGAAGGAACCAGGGCTTCATCGATGCTGCCCCGTACTCTCTTCAACCCATTACCGAAACACATCGTCCACGCACCCCCTGTGAAGCACACACCATGGCAGAAGCAGACACATCGAGGGCGGAAGAAGATCACCAGCGACAGGCGAACCACGAAGCCACAGGTGCCCTTCCTCGGCGCCGCAAGGTGGCGGACCAGGAGGGCTGCACGGTAGGGCTCAGGGCTGCGCGAAGTCGGCCCCCGGATGGGCAGCCCCGCCTGGCCATAGCACCCCACCCCCACACACCCCACCACCCGCGTATTCCGGGGCGGTCTCGGCACCCCAGACCTGGGGCGCGAAGGTAGCACCTCTGGCGCCGCCAGAGGCGGGGCCGGAAGGAGGACCCGCTGAGGCCAGGCGTGGCTACTCCCAGGGGCTGCCTGTGCACAACACCAAGCCTTACCAGGGCTGTGCACGACGCGCCTTCGCCCACGTTGCCGATTCAGGAAACCGTTTAGTCAAAACAAAGTTGCAAACCTCGGAGGGTCAACTTGTACATACGCCGTCGTCCGCCGACTTCCGCCGAGAAAGAAATGTCAACTTCTCGGTCTCTCGGAGGTGAAGGCTTTTCTGAAACTGCCCCTTACTTATGCAGAGCTGGCCCGCCGACACGTCGGCTGGGCAAGCTGTGCCACGAAACTGCGAAGCTAGCGCGCCCTTCGGACAGCAGGCCGCGAGTGCATCCGGTGCATCTTGCTCAGAGATCACGGCAAAAGGCGCGAGTGTTTTTTTTTCAAACGGCGGCAAGGCGATGGAGCGTGGGCCACGGACCTCCAGTCACTCTGCGGAGCTGTCCGTGCGAGCGTGAGAGAGAACAGCGGGGCACTGCCGTGTGATATCTCGATATCAGGAGAGGCTGTATGCTGCATGTATGGACATGTCTTGTGGGTTTCCATGTGCTATCGCATGCCAGGCGGTTCTGCACGAGGCGGCCCTCAAGACTGAAGTGGAGCCCAGCTCTTCAAGAGGGACCCCTCAAGAATGAGGTTTCAGCCCAAACTGATGCGGGGATCAGGTGAGGGCGTGGAACGTGCAGCAACAGCGGAAGGAAAAACAATATCCGTTTCACAAGAGGGAGGCAGCCAATATATGCGAATACGGTAATCCCACCCCGTTCTGGCCCGTTCTCCCCCGCATGTGCTACTCGTCCTCCTCCTCCTTTTCCTCCTCCTCCTCCTCCTCCTCCTCCTGCTCCTCCTCCTTCTGCTCCTCCTCCTCCTCCTCCTCCTCCTCCTCCTGTTATTCCTCCTCCTCGTCATCATCAGCATCATAATCAGCGTCATCATCATCATCATCATCATCATCATCATCATCATCATCATCATCATCATCATCATCATCATCATCATCATCATCATCATCCGCAGCATCATCGTCATCAGCAGCAGCATCATCAGCATCATGGGCATCATCATCACCACCACCATCATCATCATCCTCGTCATCATCAGCATCGTCATCATCGTCAACATAAGCATCATCATCAACGTTGCAGCATCACCATCATCAGTATCAGCATCAGCAGTATCATCATCAGCATCATCATCATCAGCCATCATCAGCAGTATCATCGTCGTCGCCATCGTCATCATCATCAGCAGCAGCATCAGCAGCATCATCGTCTCAAGCAGCATCATCTCAATCATCGTCAGCACCATCAGCATCAGTAGCAGCGTCATCATCGTAATCAACATCATCATCCTCATCCTCGACCTCCTCCTCATCATCATCACCCTCACCCTCACTTTCGCCGTCGTCATCATCATCACCACCATCAGCATCATAATAATCATCATCGTAAGCATCATCATCAGTAGCATCATCATCCTCGCCATCATCCTCATCACCAGCGACATCAGTATCATGATCATCATCATGAGCAGCTGCATCATCAGCATCATCAGCAGCATCATCAACATCAGCATCATCATAACCACCATCCTTGTAGACCCTAAACTGCAAAGCGGGGTCTTAATGCAATAATAACCGCGAGGTTGTATGTCAACAAAGATACCGCCATGATATCAATAACATCCGCAATGGATGGCGAAACATGGTTGCTTAGCGGTACCCGCGATGGCTCCTACCGATACGCCCAAGCTCAAGGGCCTTGGAACCCAAATGGATAAGAAAAGACATATTACTTCTCGTCTGAATATTCGCACACTCTGCTTGCTTACCGGCATGCTATGCTACTCTGTTTACATATCAGCACGGACACTATATATTTGAGAGAGCGTGATCCACCGCCGCTTTACTGTGGAAAATTGCCCCCCTCTTCCTCCGGAACCCGGGGGTCCCCCCCCCCTTCGAAAATCCCCCCCCCTGCTGGAACCGCCCCCCCCCTTCCCCCGCAAAACCCCCCCCTCCCCAAACCCCTCACCCCCCCCCCCCCCCCCCCCCCTCCCCCCTCGCTCGAAAGCCGGGGGGGAGTCACTACCGTTTCGAACCCAAAACCGGAGGGGGGGTCACTACCGGTTCGAACCCTCGCCCCCCACCCCCCCCACTCACCGCCAGCAAACGACTCCCGGTCACTACCACCGTCCGCGCCACATCCCCCACTGTTGTTCCCAGCACCACTGTCCTCACCACCACCGTCCCCGCTGGTTCCACTACCGTCCCTACTGTCCCCACCAGTGCTCCCACCACTGTCGCACTGTCCCCACTGTCCCCACCACTGTTCCCACGCTCCACTCTCCCCACTTTCTCCGCGGCCCCAACCACTGCCCGACTATCCCCACTGTCCCCACTGTCCCACTGACTCCTCCGCTGTCCCACTGAGCTGTCCCACTGTTCCCACCACTGTCCCCACTGTCCCCGCCACCTTCCCCTCTGTACCTCTGTCCCATTGTCCCACCGCCGTCCTCGCCACCGCCTTCTTCACTGTCCCCACCACCACTGTGCCCTCCACTGTCCCACTGTTTCCACCTCCCCGTCCCCACACCACTGTCCCCACCACCGCCGTCCCCACCACTGTCCACTGTCCCCACTGTTCCCACCATTGTCCTTACCACTGTCCCCACCACTACAGTCCCCACCAGTGTCCCACTGTCCCCACCACTGTCCCGCTGTCGCCTCACCACTGCCCCTACCACCACCGTCCCCACCACTGCCACTGTCCGCACCCCCACTGTCCGCACCCAACCACTGCCCGACTATCCCCACTGCCCCCACTGTCCCACTGACTCCTCCGCTGTCCAACTGCGCTGTCCCACTGTTCCCACCACTGTCCCCGCTGTCCCCACCACTGTCCCCACTGTACCTCTGTCCCATTGTCCCACCGCTGTCCTCGCCACCGCCTTCACCACTGTCCCCACCACCACTGTACCCTCCACTGTCCCACTGTTTCCACCTCCCCCCGTCCCCACACCACTGTCTCCACCACCATTCCCACCATTGTCCTCACCCCTGTCCCCACCACTACAGTCCCCACCACTGTCCCACTGTCCCCACCACTGTCCCGCTGTCCCCTCACCACTGTCCCCACCGTCCCCACCACTGTCCGCACCCCCCCTCGGTTTTCGAGGGGGGAGGGGGTTCGAACCGGCAGTGACCCCCCCCCGGTTCTCGAGGGGGGGGGATCGAACCGGTAGTGACCCCACCCCCTTTTCATGATGAGCTGGGGGGGGGAAGGGTTCGAACCGGTAGTGGCCCCCCCCTGACCCGCCCCGGTTTTCCGGAGAGGGGGGGGAGGGGGGGAGGTTTTCGAACCGGTAGTGACCCCCCCGGTTTTCCGCCAGCAGCGGTAGAACACGCTCTTTCATAGATTTACACTCGTGCAAAATTATTATGATATGTGCGTCTCTGGTCTTAGCTCGCTTGGACGTGTCAAGTCTCGCGTCAACCAACTAAGCTGAAACCGAACGCCTGCTGCGCTCTATCCTGGAACCAAGCGGATAGCGCGCTTGAGAAGCGAGCCGGCACTGTTCATATGCGCCTCGTGCTCTCGGGCCTGGTCGGTTGGCTCTTGACGCTGCAATGCGAGGCGTGTGTCTCGCAGCACTGCCCCGATGGCACTGCTGTCAGATCGCTGAGTGAACTGATCCCCGAGCTGCTGGCCGGTCGGAACCCAAAAGAGAGGCAGCTGGCTACGCTGATCGTCGGCAACGAATTCGTTACTTCTTTCCTCTTCTAATGACTCCTTGAGGGCTACTAGGTCTAGCAAAAGGCGCCGCTCTGACGAGAGCTTGGGATAACCGTCTTTGTGCATCGTATCGTACAAGGTAGCGCAATCTGTGACCTGAGCAAGCGGCAGCAAACTCGGGGGAATATCTTCCAGATGAGCATCCGGTATCTCAAGCGAAGCGGAAACACAGCGTGTGATCTGAGCACAGCCTAATGCGTCTACTGCTGACATCGTCTCAGCTGCCAGAATAGATCTGCAAACTCTCTCGATGGTGCCTGATCGCCAATCAACGATTCCCGCTCGCGCCTTGTCGCCGCACAACAGCTTGGCCTCGGCGATGAACGTCGCGTAGCCGGCCTGCGAGCGGATCTTGATATTCTTGTCCTTGCTGCCCACGATCTTGGTGAGTAGCGTAGCTATGACACCTTCAGGTGGCTCGTCAACATTGGCCCAGCTGGCGTCGTGGTAAGTGACCAGGCAAAGTGGTCCACGTAGTTTCGGGAATTCCAGTCCCACGTCCGCGTGCTGCCGCGCCAGCTCGATGAGCCGATTCGTCTCGAGCAGGTCCTGGATGGTGGGCTTGTTCTGGGTGCGCTGTCCCATGGCCACTCCAGCTGACAGGTCTGGTCGAGTCTGCGATGAGAGCCATCCAAGCGCTCCGAGGGCGGAGCGGTTGTCCGAAAACTCGGCTGGCGTCGCCTCCGCCGACAGCTCCGTCTTGCGCTCCTTGCTGAGCGCGATCTCCTCGAGCGTGTTCGCGTACTCTGTCTGGCGTAGATGTAGGACCCCCCCCCCCCCCCCCCCCCCCCTATCACGCAACCCCTGATTGCCACAAAAAGTGAATGGCAAACCCCTCCAGTCGCCCCACGGTAGGAGCTTGTAGAGCCAGTCGTACAGGGTCGGGTACTTGGGCGAGACGCCCAGCAGCAGGTCGTCCACGTGGGCGACCACCGCCGCGCACAGCTCCCCGTGCTTGTCGCAGCCGTAGTACACCGCTGGATCTAGCGAATGATGGCGAAGTCGGAACACGTAGTCACCTAGCTTCTCCTCCACCGCAAGCAAGGTCCTTTTGAGCTTAGCCCACCACTGTCGCGGTGCGGCGGCTAGCCCGAAGACTCCCTTGAGGATCTTGATCAACTGCTTCGGGTGCAACCTAAGTAAAGCCTCGCGTGGCTGAACCATGTACAACTGCTGGTCGAGCTGCTCGCCGCCTTGCATGAAAGCCGCCTCCACGTCCACTGCGTAAATCTCCAGGTCGAACCTCTGGCAGACGGTGAAGAACAGCATAGTCGAGTTGCGGGTGACCGTCGGCGCGTCTGCGCGCAGGTCGCCCTGAGCGAGACGCGGGTCCATGTGACCCCCGACGTAGAGTCGGGCCTTGGCCTTGACCGGCAGCGGGCGCTTGTCAGTCCGCAGCGGCGCGTTCTTATCCCGATACACAAACCGGCTGGGCAAGATGAGGTTGGCCTTGACCCTGCCCCTGACCAACTCGGACTCCTCGATGGTGAGCACCTGACAGGATCCGTACTTCTGCCACTCGCTCCACTGCTTGGCCGCCGCCTCTCGGTGGAACTCCCTGTCGGAATCCTTGATGGCCCTCCAGTGGATATCCTTGTCGGCTTGCTTGCGCTTGATCCTCTCGGTGACGACGGAGGTCTGCGTCGCTTCTCTGGGAGCCGACCTCGAACGCTCTCTAGCGCCCTCCTGCTCGGATCCGGCCGCTGCTCCGCCGTCGGGCACGGCCGCCCGATCGCGCGAGGCTGTCCTCGGGGGCGGCCCTCCGGAGCCCGCCTGCTCCTTGGCGGCCGCGGTCTGCAGGCGTTTGAGGGCCGGGCCGAAGTCGCCGCTGTCCGCCCCGTCGAAGGTCGCTCGCCATCGTCGGAACTCGACGGGACCGTATGGCTGCTCCTCCAAGGCTGACTGAGGCATGTCGGCTCGGTCGGCGGGCAGCACCTCGATCTGCTCCTGGGGCTTCGGGTCCTCCGGAACGCACAGCCTCAGGTCGTCGTCGTCTGGGCTGTCGATGAACTCCCGCCACGCCTGCTCCATCTCGCCTGGCTGGACCTCGGGCTGGCCCGGCTCTGGGCGGATGTCCTCCACTGGGGCCTCCTCCTGCTCGAGTGAGTCGCGAGCCCTGTTGAGCTCGGCCACGGCCTGGCCGATCTCGCCCCGACCGTTCGGGAACCAGACGTCGTCCGGAGCGAGCGCCTTGATGTGCTCCGGGGCCACCAGCATGGCGCGCCCTCCCAGCGAGACCCAGGCGTTGTTGCCCTGGCGACTGATGACCACGCACGGCACCCGCCAGATGCCCTTCTTGGCGTTGCGGTTGTGCTGCTCCTTCTGCTCTTTCTTGTTGACATCGCGGAACATGTAGCACATCTCGCCCACTGACAAGAGTGTGGCCACGGTGCGCGCGCGAGCCAGCATAGCTCGTCTGAGCTGGTCGTCGTTCTGCATCCGCATGAACGACTCGCGCGCCGCCGTCCAAATAGCAGATCGGCGGCGAATCTTCTCGTCATTGGTGGCGAGGCTGCGGGCACTGTAGTTGGCCGCGTCGTCCACCAGGTCGGCGGGCATCTTGGGATCGCGCCCCAGCACCCGCTGCGCGGGGCTGAAGCCAGCCCGCCGCCTCAGCGAGTTCTTCGCGCCCGACACCATGATGCCCAATGTCCGCATCTCGCCCTCGCCCCTGATCGACGAGTGCTCGGTCGTCCTGGCAGCGAGCTCCTTCCACCAGGCTCTCTGACGTTCCACTCGATCGAGCTGCCAGTGGGCCTGTCCCGCGATAGGTAGCTGCACCGCGTCGAAAGACTGGAACAGCTCGCTGAGAAAGCCGCCGAACCCCCTCTCCATGTCGAAGTGGGCTCGGTCCGAGACGCCGGCCCAGGAGGCCCAGCACCTCTCGAAGGCCGTAGCGAACTCCTGGCTGGTGTGGCGACCGATCAGCGTCGCGACGTGGAAGGTAGTGGCCAAGTCGACGATGCTGAGGTACCAGTAGCTCTTGCCGTCGACGTCCTTGAGCTCGAAGCAATAGAAGCCCACGTCGTCGCCGAAATCTTGCACGAAGTGGAGGCGCGCTGGCCCCCATGCGCTCGGGCGCTGCTGCGAGCGGCGCACTCCGCAGATCAGCCCCTTGACGGCCTGCACGGTGGCCGACTTAGCGCCCTTGAGTGGCAGACTGCGGCTCAAGTCTTCATTAGACGGATGGCCCAAGTTGACGTGGAGTCTCTTGAGCATGGCCAGCTCGGCTGGCTTGCAGCAGGCTGCTGCGTTCTTTGTGAAAGCGACCGCGCCGACCCCGATCCTGCCGTCCACAGTCTCGTCGGCCTTCACGTCGTGAGTGTCGGCGAAGTCGTCTCCGCCGCCCATGGGGCCTGGGCCCCCAATAGGCTCGCCCGTCTCTCCCAGGGGCGCGGCATCGTTCTCGCAGGCGGTGGCCTGCTCCTTCAACTCCGTCGCGATGAAGGGCGACGAGGAAGCGCTGCAGTCCACCTGGTAGGCGCGAGGCCCACCCTGCTGGCGAATGATCTGCCCGACGACGCGCACCACCGCTCGGCAGAACTTGGCTGGATAAACGCCGGACGTCCGCACCGCCACGTTGTCACCAAACGTCTGGTCGTGGTGCGCGTGGCTGCAGGTGCGGCGTAGTCGGTCGAACTCCTTGTGGGTGGCGAGCAGCTTGGCGGGGTGCTTGACGAGCCCCCCCGCCTTGTAGCGTCGAGCCCCGTGCTCGCACATCTCCCACCTCACCTGGTACACGCGCTTGTCGGCAAGTATCTCCATCATGATGCGCTGTGTCCAGATCCTGCCGGTGGCCGGGTTCTCGACCATGGCGACGCCGCCTGAATCGAGCTGAGACTTGAAGAGGTCGCGGGCCAAGAAAGAAAAGGAATGGCCGCTCCGCGCGCCACAATCGCCGCAGTGCCTGCTTGCCCTGCGGCGTGCGGAACTTGAGGTGCGCAATGTTCGCGCGGTGGGTGCAGGGTAGCTCGATCGACGCGAACTTCGGCCTCGATGCGCAGCGCCGCTCGCACGTCATCTCGAGGTCCTTCTGCTTGCGGAGGTCCCAGCCGCACTTACGGTCGATCACTTCCGTGGCTGTCATGTCGCGGCGCACTGCCGCCTCGGCAATACTGCCTTCGCCTCCGAACACTTGCATGACGTCCACGCCGTGGCTCCGGACGGTGTAGATCTCCTTGACGTTCCTCACGTGGTCCGCCACGTCCTGCGCGGCGCTCGTCGCGCCCTGGGCGAACGGCTTGAGAGGTTGGGGCAGCCAGTCCGCCGTGAGCACCGCCTGAAACGCGAAGGCGCTCAGCAAGCCCGTGACCTGGTAGAGTAGGCTGACGCGCTTGCCCTGAGGCTGGCGGCTGGCCCTGGCGGCTGCCGCCGCCTAGGCCTTGTCGCGCGGAGAATCCGCGTCCGTCTCCTGGTCGGTCTCGCCCGCCTTCTGGAAGCCGTGATCGCTTGTGTCCATCTCGTGCTCCTCGACCGGCCTCGGGCGACGGCGACCCGTCCAGCTGCCTTAACTTGCTGAGGCCCGTTGGATCCTCGCCGCCAGCGTCGCCGTCGTCCAGGACCAACTCCTCGACCATCACCGCCTCGATGGTAGTCTTGAGCTTCTCTGGCTTGAGCGGCCTCACTCCGTGAGCCTTGACGCACCTGCCGAAGCGCGCCGGGAGCGGGCTCGCCCGGCCGTTGCCCAGTTCCAGCACCGCCCACCGCGCGTAACCCAAGTCGTTCTTGAGCACCCAGCGGTGGTCCGCGGTCGGGTACTTGCCGAAGCGCATCTTGTCGCTCCCCGTGATCTGCGAGCTTGGATGGGCTACGTTGCTCGAGGCGCCGCTGACCGCGCTCGACCTCCCAGCCCTTCAGGCGCTGCCTGAGCTCCGGCACGGTCGTGTGCTGGTCGAAATCGATGCCCTTCATCCTGCGCGACTCCTGGAGCTCGTGTTTGTGCATCTTGCCGAGCCCGGGGATGTCCTGCGCCTTCTTGTCCTGGCCCTCGGCTCTCAGCGCGCGCGGGATGACGCGGAGCTGGTCGCACGTCGCGTCGCGCGCGTCCAACTCGTAGCTTGCCACCTCCGCCTGTAGGTCCCCCATCCGCACGCTGGAAATCGCCGGCAGGCGGGAAGTACTCGGCGTCGGCGCATTCGAGCAGCTGACCTCTGGGTTCGTCGCCCTGGGAAATGTCGCGCGCATCCGCTGCGACGGGGGCGTGAACTCCGGCCACTGGTTCGCGAGAAGCTGCGGTGGCTGGATCTGCCACGGCACGCGTCGTAAAAGCTGCTGGAGCCTGAGATGAACTCGAGCCGGATGGGCGCGGTGATGATGCCGTTTGATGACTCCGTGCTGATGGCTGATCTCGTAGCTCGCTACCGCTTGCTTGCTGCTGAAATCGGACACGTTGTGGCTGCGGGTCGCTGTCTGGTTTAGCTCCTCGCCCTGTGTGATCGGTTTGCATGATCAGCGCTGCGCTGGCGGACGTAGGAATAACTGCCCATGCCTCATCCTCCGACCACGATGATAACTGACGCGATGGAATGTATGCGCACAGGGCCTGGCGCACCTGCTGCTCGAACAGTTCAGCGCTGTCGAGCTGGTCGCAATCAGTCCCCGACTGAGACTCGTCGGCCTCCGAGGCGACCCCTGGGTCGCAGCACTCGGGCGCTACCGGCTTGGCGGCGCTGGCCACGGCTGTCTCAGCGTGGTAAGTCGAAAAAAGGATGCAGCCGGATCTCGGCCTTGGTGTCCGAGATGTCCGACACGGGCTTGTAGCTTGGCGCGAAGCCTGTGATCTCGAGCGCCGGGTGTCCGGCGCGGCCCAAACCCATCTGGAAGCCGTGCTGGATGACGGACTTGATGTCCACCTTGTTGTCCCCTGCGCGGTAGAAATCGCCCAGCTCGCTCTGGGCCCGGCGGCTGAACAGCCCCGGCACGGCGCTGCGCGCGATGCTCATGCGCACGGCGAAGGCCTTGCCATTCACCGAGCAGGGAATTAGCGCCGCCTTGAGGCTGCACACCACCTTGGACGCTCCGAAGCGGAACGGCTCCACCTCCGGGTACTCGATCGACTGGATGTCGAAGGCCGCCAGCTTCTTCCTGACGTCGTTGTGCCAGTCCAGGCCGCCGACGCACCGCGAGCAGGCAGTGGCGAAAGTCTGCTTGCCGCCCGACTCCTTCAATAGGAATTCGACTCTAATGTAGGTGAGCGCCGGGCCGAACCCGTCGCGGCCATGCGGCACTGGTTGTCCTTGTTGATGCAGAACGAGGCTGCCGTCACCTCCTCGGGCATGTCGCGCAGCGCGTTGCCGAAGGTGACCTTCCCCCGACCTCGCGCTGCTCTCGGCTGCTCGTGCTGGTAGACCGCCGCGACCGTCATCTCCGCGTCGCGGGGCCCCTGCAAGTCGCCGGCCCCGACGTTCGTAGTCAGGTTCGTCTTGTGACTTCCCTTTCGCGGGATGTCGGCCCTCGCGTTGGGGTCGTTCTTCTCGGGGCACTGCGGGTCGCCGCGCCAGTGGCCAATCTGGCCACGAGCTCCACAGTGCTTCCTCGCCTTCTGCTTGGCGATCTTGGCATCGTCCTTTTCCGGCGGATGCCCGCCGTCTCGCTCGGCGAATTAGCCGCGCGCCTGCTTGGCCTCTTTGAGCTCGTCCTTGGCGCGCGCCATCTTCTTGGCGAAGAAAGCCACCTGCTCCTCCGCCTCGTCTATCACGTCCTGCAGCTCGTCCGGCAAGTCGTCGTCGTCGCCCTCGGAGCCGTCGGTGGACGCGCCGTCGTCCTCGGCCTCGTCGCAGGCCTCCGCGGCGCACATCTTCTCGCGGTCCTTCTTGTGACCTCCGTGGCCGCCCTTGTCGCGGCGATGCTCTTCGTTGCCGTGCACGACCGACATTTTGGGCAAATTGATCATGAGCTGCTCCTGGATCTTCGTCGGATTGAACTTGTTGCCCACGCCGTTGAGCACGCTCGCCGCGCGCTCCGGTGGCAGGCGGGCGCCCTTGATGCACAAGTCGGCCAAGACCTCGTCGGGCACCTGGATGTCCTTAGCTCTCAGCTTCGTCGCTATGCTGTTGAAGCGATGGTTGAAATCGTGGATCTCCTCGAACTTGCGCCGGGTGCACGCCGGCTCCACGAATGTCTCCAGGAGCGCTGGTACCTCCAATGCCTCAATCTCGGGAAAGCGCTTCCCAAGGTACTCCAAGAAAACCTCCACCGAGTCGTCGCCATTGATGGTCTCTAGGTCGATCTCCTCGCACGCCTCCTCGGCCTTGCCCTTGAGGCTGGCCAACAGCGTCGCGCCCTGCTTGGGCAACTTGACCTCGGTGCCAACCTGCCAGGTGGCGACTTCTCGGCGGAGCATCTCCATCGTCTTGCGCGTGCCGTCAAAGACGGGTACGGGAATATTGCCCCCGCTGTTCTTATCCTCGCCGCTGGCTGCAGCGGCCCCTCCAGTAGTCGCCATGGCGGCAACTCCGAATGAGAGGTGTCGACCACCGTCAACTCCGAATGAGGCGTCAATCACCGTCAACTCTGAACGAGAGGTGACAGTCGCAACCACGAGCTTCTAGGTGCCCATTATGAGATTGCGAAGTCGCGCGCGTTGTCGTGGTCGAGTAAGCTCCTGCTACCAATGTAGACCCACTACTGCAAAGCGGAGTCGTAGTGCAATAATAACCGCGAGGTTGTATGTCAGCAGAGATACCGCAATGATATCAATAATATCCGCAGTGGATGGCGAGATATGGCTGCTCAGCGGAATCCGCGATGGCCCCTACCGATGCGCCCAAGCTCAAGGGCCCTGGAGCCCAAATGGATACGAAAGGACATGTTACCTCTCGCCTGAATATTAACACACTCTGCTTGCTTGCTGGCATGCTATGCTGCACTGCTTACAGATCAGCACGGGCACTCTATATTCAAGGAAACTATCGGAGGTTGGGGGGTGAGATCGAAGTGGAACGGAGAGCCCCCCTACCGGGAAATCGATTTCGGTTTCGTGTTCGTGCGTGCCGTGCGGGCGAGGCGAAGCTGCGTGGGCGGGCGAGAGAAAGTCTCCTGTGGCTGAGGCGCGGCCGGGCGCAAAAGAACCTTGACCGGGCGGCCGGCGCCCCGCGGTGTCCCGCCGGTGTCCCGCTGGTGTCCCGTGTGGCTGAGGCGCGGCCGGGGCAAAAGAACCTTGACCGGGCGGCCGGTGCCGCGCGGTGTCCCGCCGGTGTCCCGCTGGTGTCCCTTCGGTGTCCCGTCGGCGTCCCGATGATGACGTGGATGATGATGATGATGATGATGATGATGATGATGGTGCTGATGGTAATGATGATGATGATGATGTTGATGATGGTGATGATGATGATGATGATGATGATGATGATGATGTTGGTGTCGTTGATGATGATGATGATGACGATCATGATGATGATGATGGCGTCGATTGTGAGATCGATTGTGATATCGATAGTGAGACCGTATGTGAGATCGATTGTGCGATGCTGATGGTGATGATGGCCATGATGGTGATGATGATTGCGATGATGATGACGACGTTGATGATGCTGATGATGATGATGGCGATGATGATGATGATGATGATGTGAATGGTGATGTCGATGATGATGATGACGACGCCGATAGTGATATCGATTGTGAGATCGGTAGTGAGACCGAATGAGACAGCGAATCGGCATGTGTGGCATGGTGGGATCGTGTGTGAGATCGACGGTGATCTCCACAATGAGATCGATCGACTGAGATCGAAAAGGAGATCGCTAAGGGAACCGATAGTGATATCGATAGTGAGATCGATTGTGAGATCGCTGGTGAGATCGATAGTGAGACCGGCCGAGAGAGATCGATGATGAGATCGATTGTGAGATCGATGGTGAGATTGATCGAGTGAGTTCGATTGAATGGGACCGATAAAGAGATCGATACTGAGATCGATAGTGCAAGAGGCGGCGCGGGCTGCGCCAAGCTTTGCCAGCGCTTCAGTCTTCTGTGGCCAAATGGCGCCGTTAGCTGCCGTTGCGCAGGTTGGGCAGGTTCCCAGGGGAAGGGTGACGTAAACAACTCGACACCAACGCCCCCAAGGGCGAGCGGCGACGCAACTATCTCCACTGGCACTGTCACAACAACATTCACCACTGTTGCCCATTGCTGGGCCCCCCCCAACCTCCTTATCACCCGCAGGGTGGTCGTATAAGTATATTTCACAACCCCCAACAACAATAACATAATGCCCATGCCCATGTCCATGCCCATACCCACCACCATCACTATCACGATCACCATCACCATCACCATCGTCACTATTACCATCGTCGTCACCATTACCATCACCATTACCATCATATTTCTCCTCCCCCTCCTTCGCAAATCACCCCCTGTACCTGTTTTGGGGCGCACTCGGACCGGAATTTCGTGGCAGATCCACTCGTGGCGACGAGAGCCCCCCTAGGAGGCCTTGACAATGCCAACAACGTCCACCTCTGAAGCCATCGTGCTACCACGGAGAGCGCTGAATGAGGAACGAGAGAGTTTTTTGCTGCCGCGGCAAACCTCGGCCACTAATGGGTTCCACGCCCTAGGTCACAGTCTGAAGAGCACCCCGAAAACAAGAGCCCCTCCTGAGCCCTTCATCGTCTTGGCTGTAACCGAAGGAGCCCTGGGACACATAAATAAATACACACCAATAACAGGATTCACCATACTTCCCCATATTTTCTGGGCTATTGTCTTCCCACCCCACTTCCAATATGTTCCCATATTTTTTCCCTCCTGAGTAACGTATCCTCGGTCCTCGACCCCCCCAGCTCCGCCGCCTCTTCCCCCGATGTTTCCAGGGCCGGCGCCTCGTCGGCGGTGTTCACGACGAGGCCGCCCCAGTCCGTGTCGCAGACGACCAGCCGGCCGCCTGGCCGCAGCACCCGGCGCACCTCTTGCGCAGGGCGCACGTGCTCATCGTGCACGTGTACACGTCGGTCGGAAGAAATAGGAAAAAACATGATCCCGGCAAAGCAACCTAACAGCGATGTGTAGGAGCATATCTGGAAGCATTCCCCTTAAGATTCAGATGATAATCCAGTTGTAGAATTCTGCTGTTCTCGCAGTCGTAGTCGCATTCGCGATGACAGTCGCAGTGGCAACGGCAGTCGCAGTCACAGCCTCAGCCTCAGCCTGCCTCAGCCTCAGCCTCAGCCTGCCTCAGCCTCAGCCTCAGCCTCAGCCTCAGCCTGCTTCAGCCTCAGCCTCAGTCTGCCTTCAGCCTCGGCCTCAGCCTCAGCCTGCCTCAGCCTCAGCCTGCATCAGCCTCAGCCTCAGCCTCAGCCTGCCTCAGCATCAGCCTGCCTCAGCCTCAGCCTCAGCCTGCCTCAGCCTCAGCCTCAGCCTCTGCTTCAGCCTCAGCCTCAGTCTGCCTTCAGCCTCGGCCTCAGCCTCAGCCTCAGCCTCCTCAGCCTCAGCCTCAGCATCAGCCTGCCTCAGCATTCAAAATGTGGCCCAGGAATGGAGTTCTGGGAACTCGAAGAACACGAAGTGGCCTACAGTTGGCTCCGGGCATTCAAAATCATGCGCAGGAATGGAGTTCTGGGAACTCGAAGACCACGAAGTGGCCTACAGTTGGCTCCGGGCATCCAAAATGTGGCCCGGAATGGAGTTCTGGGAACTCGAAGACCACGAAGTGGCCTACAGTTGGCTCCGGGCATCCAAAATGTGGCCCGGGAATGGAGTTCTGGGAACTCGAAGACCACGAAGTGGCCTACAGTTGGCTCCGGGCATCCAAAATGTAGCCCGGGAATGGAGTTCTGGGAGGTCGAAGAGCACGAAGTGTGTGACTGTTGGCGAAAAGCGAGCCCGGCTCTGTTCCCGGTTCTCCAGAATGTGTCCCGGGAATGGAGTTCTGGGAGGTCGAAGAGCACGAAGTGTGTGACTGTTTGCGAAAAACGATTCCCGGTTCTCCCCCCCGGCACCCGCCCAGACCCCCCTGAGGAGTCATGATGCTCTCTTTTGACCCTACTAGAAACCTATCAGCAAAAGCTGTTAGGTAATGAAGTAGGAAGGCAGAATAAGTTGATTGGGCCCAGGCCCCCCCAGAGAATTCGCCGGCCCAACGGGCCAGGGCGTGCTAAGATCTCCGGTAACTGGTTAACAGTATTAACAGTATTTCTAGTTCGCGCGCGCGGGGCGGCCCCTGGGGGTCCCCCGGCGAAAAGTACCCCGACCAACGCCCGGTCGCCGCCCGACCGCCGCCCGACCGCCGCCCGACCAAGTCTACTCAGAGATGGTTTTCCTTCTGGGCGCGGCCTCTCAGGCTCCCCAGAGCGCGCTCAGAGTGCCCCAAGAGGCCCCCAAGACTGCCCAAGAGGCCCCCGAGACGCCCAAAGAGCGCTCGAAGACGCCGAAGATGACCCCAAGACGGCCCAAAAGGCCCCCAAGACAGCCCAAGAGGCCTCCAAGACGCCCCAAGAGCCTTCCAAGAGGCCTCCGAAGAGAGCCCCAAGAGGCCAAAATCGTTGATTTTCATTGGTTTCCGGACGCTCCAAGACGGCCCAAGAGGCCCCCAAGACCGCTCCAAGACGGCCCACGAAGCTCCCAAGACGGCGCCGAAACGACCCAAGAGAGCCCTCAAGACGGCCCAAGTGCCGCCCAAGACGGACCAAGAGGCCCCAAGACGGGCCCAAGAGGGACTCAGGAGGGATACCGAGAACTCAAAAATGGAGCCCTCCGTCCCAGAAGGCGCCCAGGAGGTCCCAAAGAGGCCCCAAGAGGCCTCCAAGAGGCCCCAAGATGTCGCCAAGAGGCCCCAGGAGACTCCCAGGAGGCCCAAAAGAAGCCCCAGAAGGCTTCAAACATGTCTCCCAGGCGCCCCCGAACGGCCTCTCAACAGACCCCAAGAGGCCCCCCAAAGAAGCATCTTGACGACGACTCTATTTCGCCCCATCGAGAGACGACCCCCAGGGAACTGCTTCACCATCAAAACTCCCCACGCAACGCGTCCGAACGACACCCGCCCCCAAGAGCGCAACATGGGCAACGAACACACAGACAAAAACCAGCGATGCCATATCACGGGCCGGCGGAATGAGCGAAGCGATTCAATAACAAAACACAGCAAAAGCGTGTCGATTCTTGAAGTAGGAAGGCGCTTCAAGTAGATTGGGATCTGGGAATCCAAAGAAACCTACTTTCAACGACCGGCGTGTATGTTCGGTCGCGCGAACCAGCGGCACGTGCATGCCGCTTGACTGGGCATCTCGCCAACGTGGGCGGCACGCGGTTGTGGAGACAGCCTCTGTATATATCGGAGGTGAGGGGGTGAGATCGAAGTGGAACGGAGAGCCCCCCTACCGGGAAATTGGTTTCGGTTTCGTGTTCGTGCGTGCCGTGCGCGCGGGCGAGGCGAAGCTGCGTGGGCGGGCGAGAAATGTCCCGCCTCTGGCTGAGGCGCGGCTGGACCAAAAGTCTCCGTTCTGGCAGCCGGTGCCCCGCGGTGTCCCGCCGGTGTCCCGACGGTGTCGTGACGATGATGATGATGCTGATGATGATGATGATGATGATGATGATGATGATGATGACGATGTTGATGATGACGATGATGGCCATGGTGGTGATGATGATGGTGTCCCGGTGATGACGGTGTTGATGGTGCTCATGTTGCTGATGATCATGGTACCCCGATGATGATGACGATGATGTTGATAATCTTGATGATGTTGATGATGATGAGATGCTGAGATGGTGGTGATGATGAAGATGATGCTGGTGTCCCGATGATAGTGATGATGATAAGGTTGATGACGATGATGATGGTGGTGATGATGGTATCCCGATGATGATGATGATGTTGTTGATGATGATGGCGAGGATGATGACGTTGATAATTGGGGAGATGATGTGGTGATGATGATTGGGATGATGGTGGCCCGATGATGATGCTGATGACGCTGATGTTGATGATGATGGTGGTGTCCCGATGATGATGATGATGATGATGATCATGGTGATGATGATGGTAATGAAGGTGATGGTGTCCCGATGATGATGATGTTGATGATGATGATGTTGCTGATGATGGTGATAATGGTACCCCGATGATGATGATGATGATGATGATGATGTTGACGATGGTGTTCACGATGATGAGATGATGATGATGATGATGATGATGATGATGATGAAGGTGTTCCGATGATGATGATGGTGGTGTGCAGATGATGATAATGATGTTGTTGATGATGATCGTGGCGATGATGGTGTCCCGGCGATGATGATGATGGTGATGATGATGGTGTTGATGGTAACGAGGTGATGAGGATGATGGTGCCCCGATGATGATAATGTTGATGACGTTGATGATGATGATGTCGATGATAATGATGACGTTGATTGTGAGATCGATTGCGATATTGTCAGTGATATCGATCGTGAGACCGAATGTGAGATAGATAGTGAAATCGATAGTGGGATCAATTATGAGATCAATAGTCAAATCGATTGTGAGATCGATCGGATAAAATAGATCGAGTGATATCGATTGTGAGATCGATCGGGTGAGATTGATCGAGCGAGACCGATACTGAGATCGATGGTAATATCGATAGTGAGACCGATCGAGTGAGACGTTGGTTCCTCCCCCTCCCCTGAACCTCTTTATCACCCGAAGGGTGGTCGTATAGGTATCTACATCGGCGCTACGAAAGTTTTGACCCGTTTTGTGTTTTCAGCTAAACAACGCCTGAGCATCACATTGGTTATGAGCACCACGACGGCCGTGAGCATCACTCCAAAGCCTGAGAGCACCACAGAACCTATGAGCAGCCGAGCGCCGACAATCACCTTGACGCTAGCACCTTGTCGTCGTAGTGGTCGCGGTCGTGGTCGTGGTTATGATCGTAGTCTTGATTGAGGAAGTCCTGGGCGGAAGCGCCATTTCGAAATCGAACCCGAAGGTTCCGAATTCTGTTTTGGAGGAAATCCTGGGCGGGAGCGCCATTTCGAGTTCGAACGGAACAAATGCCGAACCTCATGTTGCAGGAAGTCCTGTGCGGGAGCGCCATTTCGAAATCGATGCAGAAAGGTTTCGGTTTCAATGTTTGAGGAAGTCCTGTGCGGGAGCGCCATTTCGAAATCGAAGCAGAAAGGTTTCGAATTCTATTGTTGCGGAAGTCCTAGGCGGGAGCGCCATTTCGAAATCGAACCCGAAAGTTTCGAAATCGTTCGAAATCGTTTTTTCGAGGAAGTACCAAGCGAAACCGCCGTTTCGAAATGGCCACACCGTTTGGCATTAAAAATTTTAAAAGCCCTGACCCGAAAACTCGAAAATGCAGCTTTCGCTTAGGACTTCCTCCCCAAAACGAGCTCGACTGGATCTCGAGACCCTCGGGCTCGATTTCGAAATGTGGCTTTCGCCTAGGACTTCCTCCCCAAAACGAGCTCGACTGGATTTCGAAACCCGCGGGCTCGATTTCAAAAGGGCGGTGCCGCCCGAGATTGGAGCGAAAAATGCTTCAACCGAACATTGTACTGGGGCCACGCGGCCTAACGGGCCCACTGTCAACGTTGTACTGGGGCCCCGTCGCCTAACGGGAGGCGTTGAATGTTGGCCGAACTTTCGTAGCGGCGAAGTGTATATAAATATATATATATATATATATATATATGTACATATATATAAACATATGCATGTGTGGACGCGCGCATATCTAAGAATAACTGAAAGGATGGGTAAACGATTGGGCGCATATGCAGTACATCATACCAAGACGAACAGGTAGTTGCAAAAGCACCGAAACGAAGTACAATGGAGCATAATCAAGTGCAATCGAGTGTGAGGGGGGGGTAGGGGGGGGGGGCGTTCTGCCAGCAAGGGCGTTCTGTAGCGAGTCGCATGCGCGGGAGATGGGGAAAAATACCTGGCTCCAGCTAAACGGATCGCCCG